ATATGGGAGGCTACCATCGGCCGGTAGCGCAAATTTGAGAGCTACCGGCGGTAGAGCGCTACAAGAATTTACATGAGAGGTTCCATAGCGCGGTGCCGTCGTGTAGCGTCCGGTAGCGCAGCCAAATTTGGCCTTCCGCTAGACCATCGAAATCCCGTCCCGTAGGGCACGTAGCGTAAACTTTGGACATCGACCGGGCATATTTGAAGGTCGATCAAGCAGTGCGGACCGTCCGAGACAGTCCGAGCATACGGTACGTGCGCTACCGAACCGGCTTCATGTAAACAGCGTTTCAGCCAAAAGCCAAGCTACCGCAGTAGCGCTATGTACCGGCTTCTTGAATTTACGCTACAAGTCGCTACCGGGCGCTACAACGCTACCAAAACGCCCCCTGTAAACTTCCTAATTGTTTGCGCTCCGCTGGGCAACTTACAGACTGTGGAACGGAACGATGGCTCGTTCCGCCGGATTAATGCTTTTGTAGAGTAGGTATAAAACCTCTAAAACCCGGAACAGTACTTGTGACGCGGCCGCGGTGGGAACGGTACGCGCGCGCGGCCGATTCCGGGTCTCAGACCCGAACTTCGGAAGAGGCTATTGCGGTACCTATACGGTATGAGCAGCACTGCCTGCTATACGTTGAAGAATTGTGAAGGAGTTCCCAGGCCAGGGCTCCCTGGGGCCTGAACCTTGGGTCAGTCTTCTTCTTTCAAGCTGTGCCACTTGGCCAGATCTTCTTGCCATTTTGGGCTCGTTGACGGTGTCAGAGGCAGCGCGTGGTCCTATCGAACGCAGTGATCAGAGTTACGAGCTACTGCTATAGCCTCGTAGCTAGGGCTGGCCGGGAAAACCATCTTGATCCCTGAACGGAAGGCTGGCTAGCTCGTTCCGTCGCAATTTTGTCTTCAACTCTGGTCGTGAATGACAATGTTGCGCGGCCGCGGCGGGCCGCCCAAAGTGAAGTGAAAGTAAGTGAAGCCAAACTTGAAGTTGAAAGCCGCCCTGCGAGGCCGTCAGTGGGGCATGATGATGGATTGATACATAATGATGGTCTCACTCAAGGAGTTTCAGAGGTCAAGTTCCACGCGACTGCACTAATCTGCTACCTTTGCTCAACGAACGGCTCGGACGAGGTAAACCTCTAAAGGAACGGTAGGGCCTAGAGCAGCTTCACATGTCCACTTGGTCATTCATGAATATACTCCAGCACCGTTCATGAACCCGGACACGTTGACTTTGAATTTGGTCAAGTGGAACTTGCCAATCGAGCCGAGTGCTGCCGAGCCGTATTTTGAGACGGTACATGCACTCAAAGAGCATGCCTGAATGATCGACTTTGCCAAGAACTTACCACTCCTGCCGGTCCGCGCGCCAACAGGGCGCCTGGCACCGAGGCTGCCCTAGCCTTATCCAATGATGCCGTTTAGGGCGCAAAACTGCCGCGCGTGCAAAGACCGTTCGGCCGAATATTGGGCCATGCAGGGCCATCGATCACAAACATATTGCCTAGTTTTTAAGTCCGATCAAGCGCCTCGTTCAGAGGATCTTGAAAACTATGCGCGAAATTTTGCCATGCAATAGAACAGATTTTTAACAAAGAAGGGGATAACGAGCAACGTACAAAGACGTTGCGTTGCAAGGGGGTTCTTGGAGTAAGTTTGATCGTAGTGGTGTGAAGCATGCAGATTGCGTCAAAATTCGACTGCGCCGCGCAAGCTCTTGCGAAATCGGAATGGCATCTGTTGCTCTAACGAATCAAGGGATTGAGCAGCCTTGTAAGGAAAGGATTCAAAAGATTGAAAGCTTGAGGCAAAGGTCTAACATGTCGTTTCAACAATCAAATATGCAAAAGCTGCAACTTTCCAAGTTGATGCCTTGCTCTCGCTCAGGCAGTCCTGTCCTTCCTCGGCAACACTACCTAACCTACGTTCTATTCTGCTCCATTTTGTACAGTCTCGCTACTGCCATATCTTGATCTCAGTTTAGTCGGTGTCAACAATTCTGGGTTTCAGTCGTAACTTCCCAATTGACCCAGTCTCAAATGCAGACAAAAGTAGGTTTGATTCTCTTCAATCCATCATGAAACTAGTGCAAGCAGCGAAGACATTGGTTACGGATTTTCTCCTTCAGGCAATCTCGACATCCTCGTCATCCACTAATCCCCCCTTAACCACCGCACCCCCCCCCGCCTCCACACCCTCCGCCTCCGCCTCCACACCCCCCACCACCGCCACAGCCCCCCCCCCCGCAAGCACCGCCAGAGCAGCCCCCCCCGCAGTTGCCTGCTGATGCCCCGCAACCCCCGGCACCACACGCCCCTGCAGCGCACCCCTCTGCGCCGCACGCGCTTGCTCCGCAGCCCCCTACTGCAGAATGAATACAGAATCCGCCTTCGTAAGAGAAAGTGAATGGGCTTCACAAGTTGTGGAAACAACGGGCTTGAAAAGGAAGCGAGAGGGTTGTTTGTCCATGTCACCTGGTCAGAAGCCTTGGCAAAAGATGGCGGAAGAACGTGGATGTCAGTGCCTGCCGCCATTCGGCACATGTGAATGCATCTCTTGGAACTAACATAGAGCACTCGAAGTCTGTCCAAAGCTTCGCCCTAATGGTCAAGAGATATTGCGATACGCGACAAGGAATCCAAAAATGGGGAATAAAGGATGCGGTGAAGCTAACCCACTCAGAAGCGTGCTCCTAATACAATCTCCTGGGCGTGTGCTACAATTGAACCAATTATCTCGATAGTGGACGATTGAAGCTCCCTTTGATTATCTCTCACGTCATAGAGTCAACCTAAGTACTCTAAACCACTAGCTCAAGTATCAACTCTGCACGTGCCTGCATAAATTGCCGACCCGAAGTCCTTTCTACGAAGCGTTTGTGCTACGCCTACTGTGCGCTTCAAGATGATTCAATGCGGAGTGAAAGAAAGAGGAAGGCTCACCTCCGTAGGTGAGACCCGGGCTATAAGCCGCCATGTACCAGAGGGGGAGATACTCGAGGCCTCCGGCAGAGCTGGGAGAAGTGTCGCGGGAGGAGCGATGACCGTTTGGAAGAGTCGCTACGGCACCTGAAACAGCGGAAGCGAGAGTGTTACCGCCGACGTCGAGGTTCAAAAACAGGCGCATCCCACTTCCTTTCATTTTCTGACCTTCCGAAAATTGACGAACGGCACAGTTACAGCAGTCTGATTGCCCCTGAGGATAGATCCTTTTCAGAGCAAAAGGAGCAAAAGTCTCAGTGACTCCGTGCACCTTCTGGATCAAACTGCAAGATCTGCATGAACCATCTGCGAGAAGCGTCGGAGTGAATTCAATCCATTTCAATTATGTGAAAGGCCTGCGAATCAGGTTTGAAATGGTTTTGATCAGATTCTTCGCCCAACATGCCCGCTTTAATTCTCCTTCACTCCCGGGCCGCGCCTGGAGCACAGAAAACGAGTCACTCTGAAAGGCGAGGGCCGGTTGACGTAGTCGACCGAACTTCATCGAAATGCAGCGATCGGGGTGCAACCCTGACAACCAGGATGTGAAAAGAGTCTACAGAAACGGTCATTTAGTAGAGCCTCGGTGCCTCAAGCTCATTCTGTGAAGGAAACGGAAACCGCTTTTCGAAAAATGGAAACTTCAATGTCGGACAGGGTGCGGACGCTCACCCCAGTGGTTGTCGGACGGCTCCCTCCTGCGGCTCTGCTCTCGCATCGCCTTCTGCCGGGCCTTTTGGGCGTCCGCAATCTGCTTCGCGGTCAGCGGCACAAAGTCGAGCTGCGCTTGCGCCAGGCACGCGTTCAGGAGGAGCGCCAGGGAGACGTGCTCGCTCGGTTGGATCTGGCAAAAGGAGAAAAGTACGTGGTTTGCAGGCGTCCGAATGTGTCCAATTTTGTCTTTCAAAGGGTCCGAGCGCGTCCTAA